GCCTGGCTGAGGGTGGGCTGTAGGTTGGGCGGGGCCTGGCTGAGGGTGGGCTGCAGGTTGGGCGGGGCCTCGAGTGTGGGCGGGGCAGGGCTGAGGGTGGACCGCAAGGTCCCTGCTGGGCAGGACGCGGGTTGTGCCGGGCAATGGGAGCATCCCCTCCCTGCCATCTGGGGATCCCCCCACAGTGCCGTTTCATCATCCCCAAGCCCAGGAGGGAGGAAGGCTTAATTCCTCACTAGGGCCCCCATCTGTGACTGGGGAACCCATCCGGCTCTCGTGGGGGCCTTGGCCACCCACACAGCGAGGGTCTTTTCAGTTCGTGGTTCCGATTGTGGCGTTCATCCTGCCTAGTTTTGTTTCCCCCGAGTGGGGGAACAGGAGGGAGACGCCTGTTTTGTCTCCCGGGGAATTCAGAGGGCCGTGAGCCAAAAGGTGTCTTTTTAATGCTGCTCTTTGGTTCGTGTGTTAAAATAACTAACACATCCATGTGATTCAACAGTATAAAAGTACGCACTGAAGGCCCCCTCCCCGGCCTCCTGCGTGCCCTTCCCACCCCCACCCTCCCGGTTTAGGGGTGCTTGCAGACGGGGCTTCCCCCGCAGCCCGCTCTACCCGCTCCTCCCGGCCTGCTTGGCAGGACTGCAGCCGGTGGCCTTGGGGGGGAGGGGGGCGGGATCCCTGCAGAATCCCGGTCACGATGGGGGGTGTCCCATACTGCCCCGGGGCCCCCCAGGCACTGCCGAGCCAGGCCAGGTGGGACCAGGAGGACCCCGGTGACCCTGAGCTTGGCTTCACACAGCTGCCACACAGCTTTGTTTCGAGGTTTAGGGATATGGAGTCTGGCAGGCGCTCAGTACCGTCGCGGTGCACAAAGAATCCTCCGGAAGCGCTGACTGCAGTCCCTGGGGCGGGTCACTGGGCTTCCCGTTCTGGCCGGACGCCCGAGGCTTTCCCCATAAGTAGCAGCCGTGTCTGCGCGGAAGGAGCTAACAGGGCTTCGATTCTCGCTGAGAAATGGCCCTCACTCAGGGAGGGGGACCCCCCACGCAGGGAGGGGGAGCCTCACTCAGGGAAGGGGAGCCCTCAGTCAGGGAAGGGGAGCCCCACTCAGGGAGAGGGAGCCGTCTCAGGGAGGAGGAGGGCTCTGCGGTGAGAGTGGGGGAAGCAGGGAATGGCAGGGAGTCCGGCAGAGGGCAGGGCCCACCTTGGCTCCCAGCCACACGCCCCGAAGGGGCCCCTGCAGTCAGGGGGACTTGGGGCAGCAGCGTCTGCCAGGGGAAGAGGGCACGACCGGACACACACGTGGCTGTGTCAGTGAAGGCGCTGCTGTGGGCAGTGGGCACGGTTCAGGGCCCTGGGGTCACCTGTCAGTGAGAGGCTAGGACCACTCAGGAGTAGTGGCTGCGACCCCAAGGATAAAATGTGGGAGTGAGAGTGAGCAGGGGCCAGTGGGGGGCTGGCTGTGTAGGCACCCCTCCACCGGCCTCCCCTGGACTCCTGAGCTTTCACTCCTGCCAACAAAGCCAGCTCCCGGGGGCTGGTGGCCTCTTCTTGCCCCCACCAACCTGAGGACACAGCCAGCGGCTGGAGCCCCCGGAGCCTGACGGCCCTCCTCCCCTCCCAGGTGTGGCTGACCAGCTGCAGACCAACTATGCCAGCGATCTGAGAAGTATTCTCAAGACCCTTTTTGAGGTCATGGCCACCAAACCAGAAGCAGACGACAAGGAAAAGCTAAAGAAGGGTGAGTCCCGCTCAGGGCGTGTCCCCACCCCAGGGATCAGCATCTCCTCACCCTGTAGGGCCACCCAGCTTCTGCACAACCTGCCACATTCCAAACAAGAAGCACCCAGCACTGCCAGGCTCTCCGCTAGGGGACCAAGGGGCACACATCACAGGCCCCAGAAGTGCCCGAGAGGCCACCTGCCTGGGGCAGTGTCCCCACCGCTGGCTTTGCAGGTGGCTTACAACCTCACACGCACCGGCCTGTGCCCGCAGAACCTCCCACTCTCCCTCTGCGTATGCTCCTGCGAGGTCACCCAACTTCTTGGGGCTAACAGACTGGGAGGGACAGTGCCCTTCCTCCTAAAGACAAGACCCAGATGTGGCAGAGTCTAGCAAATTCTAGCAAATTCTGGCTGCCAAAACAGTCCGAGGCCAGCCCAGAGTCAAGGAGGGGACATAGGCCCCATCTCTCCCTGGGGAAAGTGGCTGTTCATATCCTGTGGCCACCTGGGACCTGCCTCACATACTTACACATGCTCAACACATCACGGGTGTAGACACATGCCCTCACACCCACATGCATACTTGCGCGCGCGCGCGCGCACACACACGTTCTCATATTGTCACGTGCCTGGGGTGGGGAGAGAGCGTGACCCTTGGCTTACCCCCTCTCCCCCGTGCTGGGCTGAGATACCTGTTCTGGGCCAGCTGCCCCTCATCACAGGGCATTTGGGCACACAGGGCAGCCCGCCCCAGCCCACTAGAGCCCCTCCTTGCTAGCGGGGAGCAGGAGCAGAGTTAGTTCTGTGTGTCCACCAAGCTCTGACTCCTGGCAGCACCGTGCCAGGCTGCGCTGCTGCCATTTGCCGGGGATTCCTGGGCGGGATTGCCTCCCGAGACATCACGGTTCAGAAAAGGCAGGTGACATGGACCGCTTCTGCCAGCAAGGATGGTGGGCTTAGGGATCACAGCCCAGGGAGACCTTTCTGCACAGACCGTGCAGGGTCTCTGGGGCTGGGGGCCCCCAGGGAGGCCGCATGCCTCTGGGCACTGAAGGCCCCTGCCGGGGTCAGTACCCGGCCTGCTGGGGCTGTGGTGACCCCATGGCCGTGGGACTGCAGCTGGGTTTGGGGGACCCCTGCCAGTGATGCAGAGGTGGGGCTACCGGGAACAGGTGTTTCTGTGCCCACCCCACCCCTCCCTTCTCTCCCAGTCACCCAGAGCCTGCGGAGTGCAGCCTTAGAGGATTGTGCCCTGTGCCAAGAGACCCTGTCATCCTCTGAACTGGCAGCCAAGACCCGAGATGGGGACTTGGAAGGTACGTGTGGAGTCTGGGCCAGCGCCCACGGTGCTGCGTGCTGGGCAGGGAGCAAAGGCCCTGTCTGGACTGTCCCCCTTTCTGCCCTGGATATGGAATCCATGAAGGCACCGCTTCTCCAACTGGGGGTCCCTCCCCAGAGGCCCTCTGGGCACGTAGCTGCCCCTGGGGAGGCAACTTCCCACTCTGGCATCCCCTCTTCGGCCCCCAGGGTGGGCACACGGGCCCCTGGCTGGAGGCGGCTGGGCTCGGCACAGGCACACACCTGTCCCCACCTGCATTCACCTGCCCCACAGGAAGGGCCTCAATGGCAGCTTCTGGCACCCTCTTCACAGGAGGCTGCAGGCTGCACTCTCTGGTTATGTGGGAGCCCCGAGCCCCTGCTACCCTGTTAGCCTGGAGGTCAGGCCTGCTGGTGTCCCAGTCAGGGAGGGAGCATCCAGGGTAGGTTGGGGCCCTGGCATCATGTCTGTGGGGAGGGGCTGGGGACCTGGGAAAGGTGCTGAGATGGATGGTGGCAGGTGGGCCCAACCAGGTGTCAGATGCGCGTGGAGCTGAGAAGGAGTTGAAAGTTCACCTCATGATGGGCCAGAGGCCACAGCACTCCTGGTGTGCCTGGCCAGCTGGGCTGGCCCTGCCTGTGTCCGTCTCAGGGCCTCCCCGGCGCTCCAGTGCTCTGGGGGTGATGGGGATGCGGGTGTCCAGAGGGGGCTGTGGGGATGGGGTGTCCGGAGCAGGCACAATCTCCCGACTCTTTCTGGAAAATCATACACGAGGTACAAAGCACCTGTAGCAGGAACTCGGAGCCCCTCTGCTCAGGAGGAGCGGAAGTGAAAAGCTGTGAGGTCCGGCTTGCCCAGTGCACGGGCGGGAGCCGCACCCTCCCTGCCGACTGCTGACCCAGCCTCGCTCCTGGAAGTGGCACCTGCTGACAGGGCCTGGATGCTGGTCAAGAGGAGCAGTTCCAGGAAGTCCCCCGGACCCTCACGGTCCTCACAGGAGAGGGTTTGGCCTTTTCTGTCTGAGCTGGTGTCTGTGGCCTAGCATGGCCCGTAGGGGCTAACATTGCCACCTGGGATTTCCCTGGGGTCAGCCTGGGATTTTTACACAGGGGAGGGGTGGCAAGCGGGAGAAATGACCTCCCTGCACTGAGGTGAGCTCACGGGGCCCAGAGGGAAGGTGGGAGAGGTGGGTGGGAGGCAGTTTTGGGTCTGTGCAGGCAGGAGGAGGGGCAGACCCTCCAGGCCAGGAGGGAGGCCAGGAGACCCCAGGCCCTTCTTGGACAGCAGCCTTGCCGAGTTCCGTTTGGAGGTGCTGAGGTTGGGGCCAGGGGTGCAGGCCAGTGCCCACCTGAGCCCTGGGGGTCGTGCGAGTCTGGACAGACCACCTCTGAGCACACTGTGGTCTGAGGGATGGATCCCAGATGTTCTCCCCCACCCCGCCCGGCTACTGGCTCTGGCCTTGGGGCCTGAATGGGAGGAAAGTGCCTGTCTTGCTGTGTGGGAGCTCTCTCCTCCCCCGCACTGATTGATGAGTCTCCGAATCCCAGAGCAAACCTCCATAGAGGCTTCCAGGCACCTCTAGAAGTGAGACAGGATGGGTCCCACACCCACCTGGAAGGGGGGCCCAGGCCCCAGCCTGGCCTGCACCTGTATCAGGGAGGGGCCGGCCGGACATCTGCCTGGGTTTCCAGGACCACGAGGACCCCATGACTGCTCTGGAGCTAGGGGTGGGCAAGGCTGGGGCCCCCGGGGATCCCCACAGAGTGTGCCGAGCTGGTGGCTGATTTCTTCACTTCTCAGCTGCCACCTCTGCCCGAGGGCCCTGCCAGGCTGGGCGCTGACAGAGAGAGGCTCAGGAGAGGGTCATCCGGGTGAACACTCCCTGCCCACGTCCCGAATCCAGGTGGCCTGGCAGACAGGCACTGACAACAGCTGCAGAGGTCCTGTCCATGTGATGCCAGCAGTTTCCCGAGACCGTAGCAGCACCTGGAGTCCAGGGGAGGATGGGAGGGGAGGAGAGCTGGAACCCAGCGGAAGGCACCGGTACACCCACCCGCCGGGGTTGGCCTCCCACCCCAGCCCGCCGGCTGCCGCTGTCACCGCTTCGCGGCCCCCTCTGGCTGACGCGTACCCCCCTTCTCGTCCCAGATCCACCAGAGTGGGTCCCCGATGAGGCTTGCGGCTTCTGCACGGCATGCAAAGCACCCTTCACTGTTATCCGCCGGAAGCACCACTGCCGAAGCTGCGGGAAGGTAAGAGGGGTTCGGTGGCCAGAAGTTGTGCCCGCAGACCCAGAGACTGTGGCCAGGGGCATCCCCGGGGCCCATCCGCGGGATCTGGGAGTCAGGACCGACACCCCAGGGCACTGGTAAGGCCTTTGGGGTCCCTGTCCCTGAGCCCTGGGCCCCGCTTTCACTTGGCATTGTGTGTGGACTCCAGGCACCCTGCCCACTGGGTCCCGATGGTCCCCGATGGTCCCAGCCCCCAGCTGCTTCAGACCTGGGGACGTGGAGGGAAGGAGGGTCTGAACAGGAGGCCTGCAGCAGCCTTGGAGTAGGGCTGGGACCCTCCTCGCGAGCCTGGCCTCCTGAGGCCATGACCCACCCACGGCTTTCCCGTGGTGCCCTGCACGCTGGAGGAGGGGGCATGTGGGAACCGCCGAGGTCGGGAGGGGGGAGGCACGGCATGGGGGGGAGGGTGGCGGTGGCTTGTTTGGCACCTGGCTCACTGGGTCCCCCGCCCGCCCCTCAAATTCCAGATCTTCTGCTCCCGCTGCTCCTCGCACTCGGCCCCGCTGCCCCGCTACGGGCAGGTGAAGCCCGTGCGCGTGTGCACGCACTGCTACATGTTCCACGTCACACCCTTCTACAGCGACAAGGCGGGCATCTGACAGGGCGCCGGCACTCCCCAAACCTGCCAGGGCCCCAGAGGACTCCCGGGGGCGGTGCTGCTGGCTGCAGGAGGGTCTCCACTGCATTTCATTGAGCGGCCGCCACCACTGCAGGAGGCTGCGGGCCGCCCAGGCTTCCAGAACGTCCAGCTCCTCCGTCCCTCCTACCCTGGACTCCCCACCTGTGGGGACCCCCGGCCAGCTGCAGGGGCCAACGGGAGGTCAGCTTCAGGCAGTGGGGATACCCAGGGCTGCCAGGTGGCTGCCTGGGCAGGGGTGGGCCTTCCTCCCACCTGCCCCCTGCCCCTGCCCCTGCCCTCTGCCCCCCGGCCCCTGTCCCCTGCCCTCTGCCCCCGGCCCCTGGCCTGCTGAGCTGCTCAGCCATACTAGAAGGCCTACTCAGAGCCGGCTCTTGACCAGCCAAGTGGGACTGCCCCTGGGCTGATGGTGGACAGGTCCAGGAGAAGGGCAGGCCTCGGCGTCCCCACAGGGCTTTCCCATGCACTGCCCGTTCTCTGTCCCTGCCCCGAGCCCGCAGCTGCCATCTCATTCTCCAGCGCTGCCCCACCCTTGGCCAAACAGCAGGCATCTTGTGTATTCTCGGAGGGGGAGATTCAGACACACGGCCAGGTCCTCTGGGCCGCAGGCGTGCCCCTGCCGGTGTGTGCCCGGCTGCTGACGAGATGGGGGGCCGGGCAGCTGCCTGCACAGCACTGAGACCCAGTTCCCCAGGTTCTTAGGCCAGGGCCCCCGGGGTCCGAGGACCACCAGATGTCAGCCACCTGCTGCCACTACCCCCTTCCCTCTGACCCCCTCCCCCCAGGGACCCTGGCCCACCTCCTCAGACCCCAGAGTGGCCCGGCACCCAGGCGGAGGCCGCCAGGGGGCCCCAGCACGGACACCTCAGGCTTAAATCTCAGGCTTCACATTGCAGTGAGGGTTGCAGCTTTATTTTTAGAGAGACGCTAACTACTGCTTCTTTTATAAGAAAATCCAACTACTGCTGAACAGTGGGTACACATGCACAGAAATGGCTTTGGGGGGGGGAGTATATAATGGAGGGGATATTATGTATTGAGATTATTTTTATTTTCTAAATGCTGTAATTCGAAGCCATTTCCATAAATCTATTTAAGGATTGCAGACACTTGTTTCTGGTGTGAACGTGGACTTCTTTTTCTGCGTCTGGGAAGCGGTGTTCTTGCATTCTTCCCTAGAAAGCTCCGGGCTTCTGCGCTCTTAGGGAAATTGAGGGGTTCCCATGAGCCCGTAGGAGAGGGGTAGCCAGCCTGCCCCCCCGAAAGCCCCATCCCATGCCCTACGAGGGTTCCAGGGTCTCCACTGCCTGCCCACTTGCCCAGCCCCTTTTCTCATGGTCTTCAGCTCAGAATCCTGGCCTGTGTGTGTGTGTTGGCGGGTGGGTACTCTTGGACACTCCCCCTTGGAGCCCTCCCCACCTGGTCCGGGTCAGGACCATCCACCCACCGGGGGGCTGCCTTCTGGAGTGCCCTGGAGAGAATGTGGGGGAGTAGGCTGCACCCTGGGGTTGCCATGGCAATGGGGCCTTCCTCTGCTCTTGGAGGCTGATCACTTGGGTGTCTAGTCCCTTGGAGGTGGACACTGGGACCCCAGAGAATGGAGGGATGGTTGTGAGAAACCACCCAATTGGTGGCCACCAGGCCCACTTTCTTCCTGAGAGGTGAAAGAGTTTAGAATTGGGGGACTCCCTAGGGGCACTCCTGAGTCCTTCAGGAGTAGAAGAGAAGGGATTTGCAGGGGGACCTGGTGTCTCTGGCTGCCCAAGTCTGGGCCTCATCCTCCTGCCCTGGACAGAGCCCCTCCCACCCCTGTGGGTGGCTGCAGCTCCAATGGCTGGACAGTGGAGACTTCTGGAAGGTCAGCTGCCCGGGGAAGGAAGACAGCCCCTGCTGTCAGACCAGGAGGTCAGCCCCTCACAGGAGAAGCTGCTTTGAGGGGACACTGCAGGGTCCCCCTTCCTCTCCTCAACAGGCCCACAGTTGTCACCTTCCAGACTAAAACATGGTGACCCTCCTTATCCACCAGGTCAGGCTGGGAGGCATGGAGACCCAGGAAAGAGGGTCTGCCCACCCTTGGCACAGACAGAGCTGCGCTCCTGAGGGAGAGGCCTGGGTCCCAGGGAGACAGGGAGAGCTCTGGGTGTGGCCTGGAGCCAGGAAGCCCGCCAAGCCAGATTTGGCCTGCCCTTGTGCATCCCTACCCTGAGCTGCCCTGGAGGAAGGTTCTGGGGCCATGGGAGCCTCCAGTAAGAGTGACTACTTATACCGTTTGTTCAGGAATGAGAGTCCTGAGTCATGAGACTTTCCGTGCTAAACCGGGGACGTGGGGTCACCCTACCCTTCGACAGAGCTATCCACACCCCAAGGGCAGAGCCAAGACCTGGGGATGGGAAGTGGATTAGTCCAACACCGAGTTTCCCACTCAGGAAGGTTCTAGAAGGAATAGTCTGCTGCCCACCCACAGTAGGGGCTCAAGACTAGGAGACCTTGGGGACAGGGACAGGTAGAGAGAGAGACACGAGCTCCAGATTTGGAGGCAGCCCTTGCAAGGAGGCAACCCTGGAGCAGGCTAGCCTTCCTGAGCCCCCCAGTTCCCCTGTGTCACCATCATTATATCCTTCCTGTTACCGTTTTCTGAGCACTGTCCCCTCTACTCCCCTTGACAATCCCCCGAGGGGGCAGGATCCCGGTGTCATAGATGGAGAAACTGAGGCTTACAGAAGTTGGCAGACGCTGTTAGCTTTTAGGAGGGTCACACGAGAGGCGGAAGCAGAGGGTGCCGTGACAGTCCCAGCTGGCTCTGCCTGGAGAGCCCCTTCTGAGGCAGGTGTGGAGACAGGGGCTCCACCGGCATCTGAACGCCCACGGCACACCCCTGTCTGGCATCAGGGAAGGCTGGGGAGCTGCAGGAGCCTGGTGCACCTGGGTCTGGCTTGCCCATCTCCCCTCTCTGGCTATGCACAGGCCCTGGGGAGAAGGCCTTCCGTGTGCCCCAACGCCTCCACCCCATGCTTCTGGTAACAGGTGGGGGTCCTAGGTCTGGCTGGGCCCCACAGGTACTCAGGACCTGCAGCCTGCAGGCCACCAAGGCAGAGGATGGAGGGCCTGGGGTGGAGCACCCAAAGCTCTCTGTACTCACTCTGGGAGGTGGCATCGGGGTGGGGACGAGGGATGCACCCCACCTGGTCCTGCCCCTCCCACAGTGGGCTCAGCTCATCCAATGCTCCCACCTCCCACCCCTACACCCACCCCTGGCCTCTGGAGGTGCCCTGCTGCTTGCCCCCACTTGTGGCTCATCCGTCCCCACAACGTGCCCAGGGACAGCCAGCCTGCCCTCAGGCCTGGCCCTCCTCCCCTGGACATGCAGGCGGGCAGCCCCCCACACCAGCTGTGTGGCCTTGGTGTTCCGGCTGCTGGGGAAGGTGATGAACAATATAATCCCAGGAGGCCAAATGAGAGGAGTAGGGTTGGAGGTGTGCTCCCATTCTGGGGCCCAGGACTGCGCCCCCTCCAGGGTCCCTGCTGCAGACCCTGGTGGCCACCAGAGGGCGACCCATCCCACCACCTGCGCTCCCAGTGAGGTTGGGCTGCCAGGGCAGGGGGGCGACCGCATTGCTGCCTGCAGGGGTGAGGAGGGGCCAGGGAGGGTCCCAGCTCAGCAGGGACTGCAAGCAAGTCCCAAACACATCCCGGCCAGGTCTAGAATGGGGAAACAGGCGTCCTACTTAGAGCTGGACATCTCAAACCACCGGGGTTGGGGCTGGGGGCTGATAGCACCATGGAGGGGGGCGGCTTCTCAGCCATTCCTGGCTCTTCCTGTTCCCTGGACTCTGCAGTGGGAGCTGGGGGAAGGTGGGCAGGACCCAAGGTGCCTGCCCCATGCCACCCCCAGGACCCAGTGTCCTGGAGGCACTAATCTCCTCAGAGGCCTAGCCAAAGCCACCTCCTCCAGGCAACCTTCCTAGCCTGCAGCATCCTCCTCCCCCCACCCCACACACACACCCCACATTCTCAGGGCAGAGTCTGGGGTCTCCTTGCAGGAGTCAACAAAACTCTAGAGCCTCTCCTGCCTCTGAGACTTGGGAGAGGGGCAGATTCCAGCACTGAGCAGTACTCAAAGTTAATGTCACACCCAAGACTTAAACACGCAAGCCAGGCTTTGCGTTCTGCTGTGCGCTCAGGGTAGCTCAGGGCTGGATCCTGCACCTGACCTGGGCAAAGATGGGCGCACAGACATTCTGGATCTTTCCTGCCCTTGGGGCCTGCAGATCTGGAGCAGAGGGCATGTGAGCTGGTTGGCCCCTAGGCCTGGATTGTGATACCTCTGCCCATGCCTGGTCCTAGCCCTCCTGCCCCTAGTTCATGGGCCACGTCTCCCCTCACTCCCCCCACCCTATGTGCACTGAGGTGCCACCCACCATCACAGGCAGTGTGGAGCCACTGGGAAGGCCTGGTCCTGGGTGTTGCTAGGAGAGGGGTCCCTGAAACAGCTCAGCTGCAAGGTGGGGCCACCCCTCTCCTCTCAGACTGGGATGCCGTATGCACATGGTTCCCACAGTCACACCTGGCCCTTTGCCCAGCCGGCTGTGGAACAGAGCAGCCCTCGTGCCCCACGGCAGTTAGTAGGGTGGGCATCCAGCAGGTGCACTCACCCTAGGCAAGGTGCCGGCTTTAGGACTGGGGCCAGCAACCTACTCTTCACATAGCAGGGATGAAGGGACTCTGCAAAATACCAGCCACCAGGTGGTAAGCCTGGGGTTCTACCTCCTAGGCCCCCCAACTCTGAATGCATCTGCCCCTCCCCAGAGTTGGGCACTCTCCTTTATCCTGCACAGCTCTTAGGGGCTGTGCCCTGGTTCTGGGGTAATTGTGGGGCATGAGCAGGAAAGGCTGGGGTTAACATCAAGACAGCCCATGCAGGGCTGTCTAATGGCAGGTTCCAAGTGCCCGGCTGGGTCCTGCTGAGCTCTGCTGGGGTCTTGTAGGGAGGACAACACACCCCTAACCCCATTTCTCAGATCACACAGCTGGGCTCCCACCCCCAGCAAATAGCGTTAGGTCAGGAGGTGGCTTGGTCTTCCTGCTCCTGGGTCACCAGGCCTGGGTCACATTTGTGGGAGCACCAATATCAATGCTACTGGGATTTCCAGGAGACACTAGGCAGTCCCTAAACCTCAGGATTCCCAGTTCCCTTAACCATAAATCGGGAATTCAGAAATGCACAAGGAAATGGTGTATAAAACATCCAATAGATCCTAGGATGGAAAGTAGAGATTTTTATAGTTTTTGTTCTGTTTCGTTGGCAGTAGCAATGCCCCCTTTAGAGGTTTGGGCAGGGTCAGGGCAGGGGTCCAGCCACCTTATCCCCACACTCTCCAGCCTGCTGGGCCCCTCCTCAGGAGTTGCCAGGCCACGAGTCTCAACAACCAGTGAGAAGGAAGACCAAAGGGAACTGAGGCCAGTCTGGGGATGCCTCCAGGCTGCCAGTCCCTGATCCTACGGAATCAGTTTAGGGTCAGGGGCCACTAGGGCCACCCAAGTGCAAGGAGTTTGATGAGGGGCTCGCTCCTCTCCCAAGGAGGGCAACTCTCTTCCCTAGAAAGCGCTTCCTTGGAAAGTCTTGGAATGTCTCCACTCTTCAGACCAGACACGAGCACGCAGCCCTCCACTCTTGGAAAACCCTTGGGACCATGGCAGCAGATCTCTGCCCCTTCCTTCAGGCCTGGGGTCCACTGGGCAGCTCTGAGGGGCCCTCCCTCTCTGGGTCTCTGCCCGTTGAGATGTGGCTCAAGATCTGCCTCTTGGGCTCTGACCCTCTACGTCCCTCCTCCAAGCTCCGGTCTTTCCTGGGGTCACTCTGTGTCCGGCAGGAAGGGATGTCGCTTTGCAGCCCATAAGACACCCCCGAAGAGAGCACGAGGTCCCGTGCTCCCGCGGAGCCAGTGCTGTGGCTGTTCCAGGGCAACAGGTTCCTGCACACGACGTGCAGACCCGACGGACAGGCCAGGCGCACGCGACACCTCCCGCACCCTGACCGGTCCAGGGGCGCTGGTCCGGTGGCTTGCGGTGCCACCGCGCTCCGCTTCCTCCCGGCAACGCGTCCGGCCGCGGCGCCCTCATTGGCCGCGCGCCCCGCAGCCGGCCATTGGTCCGCGGTCCCTATTTTACATAGACCGTTCTGGGCCAATCGGCGCACGGCGCCTACTTATCATGCACGCCGGCCGCCAGTCAGCGAGCGCGGGGGCCGGGCCACCACGTGCTGTTGCTAAGCTTGGGCTTCTAAATTGTTACTACCGCGGCGGGCCTATCGGAACCGAGCTTCGCATCTGTCAACATTCTCGGCCCGGCCCGAGGCGTTCGGCCAGCTCCCATTGGCCCCGGCCCGGCCTAGCGCCCGCCCCCGGACCCGGAGCGCCGGCCCCCATTGGCTGCGTCGGCCGCCGCTCGCCTTATGTGTCAATTTGAGGGCCCGAGGCGGAGGGTGGCGGCCGAGCGCGCTGGGAGTCCGCGGGAGTCGGGGAAGTGGGGCCGCCGGGCGCGCGGGGCGGGCGGCTAGCGGAGCCGGCCGGAGAGGGCCGGGCAGCGGCCGCCGCCGTCCCGGAGCGCGCGGGCGGGCAGGAGGATGGAGCTAAATTCCCTGCTGATCCTGCTGGAGGCGGCCGAGTACCTGGAGCGCAGGGACCGAGGTAGCGCCCGCGCCCCTTTGTGCGTCGGGCCGCGGGCGGGCGGGCGGCGGCGGCGGGGCCGGGGCCGGGGCGGGGGCCCGCTGACCGCGCCGTCTGTCCGCAGAGGCCGAGCACGGCTACGCCTCGGTGCTGCCCTTCGACGGCGACTTCGCCAGGAAGAAGACAAAGGCGGCCGGCCTGGTGCGCAAGGCCCCGAACAACAGGTACCGCCCCCCCAGCCCCCGCGCGGCCGCCCCCCGCCCGGCCCGGCGCCCGGGGTCGCCCCACCCCCCCGAGCGCCCTCCCGCGGCCCCGACCCCCGGTCCGCAGCCCGGCCGCGGCCGCGCCCCGGCGGCCAGCGGAGGAGGAGGCGCGCCGGGCCGCGGCCGGCCTTCGCCCGGCTTTGGCTCCCTGACCCGCCCGCGCCGTCATATCTTCCCGCGGGCCGCGCCTCCTCGGCCTCTCGCGTAAACAGTGCCACGCGTACAGCGCCAGCCGCTCGGGGTCTCCTCCCGCAGCCGCTCCCCGCTCCCAGTTGTTCTGGACTTTCCGGGCAGGAAAAAGTTGTCATTGGGCGCTGGCCGGTGCCCCGTGAGCCAGGGAACTGAGGCTCGGTGCAGAGCAGCGTGGACCGCTCGCCCTGACCTCTGCTTGCCGCGGTGGGTGGGTGCCTCCTGCGGCTGGGCTGAGGGACCCTACCCCCAGGGGCCTGGACAAAGAGGGCGCCCGGAGGGCCTTGCCTGGGCCCCACCCGTCCCACCGCTCTGCCCTCCTGACACAACAAGTGAAAGTGCAGCGACAAGTGGTTCCACTCTTTGGGACAGGAGGCCTTTTAAGACTGGAGGTGCAGACCGCCTCTGGCACAGCAGCCCTCCGGGTGCCAGCGATCCCCACCCCTTCCCCTGGCCTCGTTCAGGCTGTGAAGCCAAAGCCGGGGTACACATCCCTGCAGGGGCATGGGGACCCTGAGCCAGGGCTCCCACGGGGTGCCCCTCTCCCCGCTGCCATGAGGGCCACAGCACACCTGGCACTGTCTAGGTCTGTCTGGGGCCCAATCTGCAGCTGGAACTCTGGGAGACGGACCCATCAATCGCTGGGAGCTGCCTTGGTGAAAGGGGTCAAAGTCTCTTCCCCCCCCCCCCCCCCCCCCCCCCCCCCCCCCCCCCCCCACTGTTAGCTCAGAGGGTGTTCCCCCCCCCCCCCCATTCCCTGTGCCTGCCTGTTCTTGGGAAACAGAAAGGCTGGCACAGGGACCCATCTCCTGTGACGTCCTGGCGCCCCGGGCCTGGCAAGGAATCGGTGGAGTCTCCATCTGCCCTGGCTGGACGAGCCTCTGAGTCCCAGCCCCTGGTCCCCTGCTGAGGGCAGTTTGGGAAGGGATACGTGAAGGGGGGGGGGGGGCACCACTGCCTCAGGCCTCCTCAGGGAGCTAGCCAGGCCCGTGCTGTTGGGTCTCATCGCCCCCAGTGCCATGGCACCCCTGGAGAACTCCGTGACGTGACCTTGGACTCCCATGGGGTACCCAAAAGCGATCACCAGAATTCTCTCTAAGATTCTCTGAAGAGGGCCCCTTATGCACAGAGTGGTTCACGTAGGTGCTAATATTCACCCAACCCATGAAGGAGGTGTTATTTTTATCCCCATTTTAAGGCTGAGGAAACTGAGGCATAGACCAGTTGAATTACTTGCCTGGCCCCCTGTCCCGTCTCTGGGACTCCCGTTCTGCAGTGGGGTCCTGGCTTTCTACATTCTGCAGGATGGAGATCTTGAGCTCACTGGGAAGGGAATGAGAGGTCTACTGGGCTGCGTTGCACCTCCCTGCTGCTCCTCTGGGCAGAGCCTGCCGCTCCCAGTGTCTCAGGCCCCTACGGCTCACAGTGATGGTCCCTCCAGGCTGTCCTGGCCCAGCTGGGCCTCAGCCAACCCAGACCAGGGCCTAAGGCAGAGCAGGGCCCAGAGGGTTCGGGACCCTGACTTGGCAGGGCAGTCCCAGCCTGCAAGGCTTCTGTGTCCCACCAAGATGAGGGAAAACGATGGGCACGGCTGGGACCGGGGTGAGGGGTGAATAGTGGGGCAGGAGGGTGACATGTGTGGGGAGGCCCCACAATTGCCAGAGCTCCAGGAAGGGCTCTTGGGAACAATGGTTCAGCAAGAGAGGCCTAGAGCCAGCCTGCTGGGGCTCAGGTCTTACAAGGACATGGGTAGAGGAGTATCTACCTGGAGGCGTTGATGTGCGGTGTGAACCGGTGATGCCAGGAACGTGCTTAGTAAAGCTCCAGCCGTGGGTCCACCCCCACCCCTAGCCCCAGTACGAAGCATGCGTAAGACAGGGCATTCCTGGACCCATGTTACAAACCCCCCAGGAGGCTAGCACAGGTGTCTGGGAGGAGCCCCAGGCGGGGCTCTGGGCCTCTCTCCCTACTCCCGGCTAGCCAAGGAGTGTTCCTCTCTCTCCAGGATGGGGTCCAGCCCAGACTGTGAGGGGGTGGCCAGGCCGGTTGCTCTACACTGAAGGACACTCCCTGACCCTTATATCCTTCACACGTGGGCAGACCCACGCTGGCGGGCTGTTGTTCAGGCCTCGAGGAGCCTGACAGCTCTGCTCCCTCCTGGTCCTGGCCAGCCCTGACAGGGGTTCCAAAGCTCCTTGCCCAACCCTTGTGACCAGCAGGCCCTTGAGCCCCCCCAGAACCCAGGTCTGGAGGCTCTCCTCAAGCTGCAGAGGGGAGGCCCCAGTTGGCTCTGATGGGGCCATGAACCATGGTGGATAGCAGAGGCACGAAGGCTGGGCAGGCACTCCAGCTCGTGGGGTGGGGACGGGAGACACCTAATCCAGAGTTCCTGGAGCGGGAGAGTGAGGGCAGGCAGGCAGAGGTCAGCAGAAGCTCCAGGAAGGAGTGAGGGGTGGGGGACACGGCATCCAATCTGGGTGTGCCCCGAGGTGGCCGGAGCCCTCTGCTCACATGGGAGGGAGCCTGGCAGGCCTCGGAGTCCTGGCTGTCCGTGGGGTCCCCACCTGGACTGGGAGAATGATCTAGAACGGGGAGATTGGCCCTGCTGCGTTGCTGCTCTGCAGGGCAGATGTGGTGGCACTGCCCAGTGGAGTGCTCAGGACTCTGTACCCCTGTCTGAATGGGCCAGATGGGCAAGGCTTGAGCAGCAGATGGGGCCACTGTTCCCAGAGAGGCCAAGACCATGGCCCCAGAGGGAAGCAGAAGGGCCAGCCTCAGTGTCCCTCCTGCCCACTGGGCCAGGAAGCATCCAGGTATCAGAGCCCTGGGCTGAGGGCTCTTGGGCTGGGTCTGCTCTGTCCCTCGATGTCCCCGCTGGTGTGAGCTGTGATCTTGCAGGTGGGAGAGCCCAACACGGTGAGGATGTTGCTATGGCTGGGGTTGTCAGGACAGCACCACCCTGCGTCCTGAAGTCCTGGCCTCTGTGCTCACCTGCAGCTGGGTCCCTGTGACAGCTCCTGTGGCTCCAGAGACACCGCTGGCCTCCGGGAATGTGGGGTGGAGAAGGCTGGTGGCTTAGTGCCTGGTAGACCTTGGGAACACAGGGTGGGTCAGTCATAGAACCTTCTGGAAGGGGTCCTGGACCTTCCTGCTGGCAAGAGTCCCCACATGTCTCACTAAGTAAGTCAGGCAGTCCTAGACACCCCTGGACATGACTGCACTTCTGTGTCTCCTGTCCTTGTCACTCAGTGTGAGGTTCCCCCAGCCTTTGGTCAGCAGTGCTCACCTGCCCAGCACTCCCCATCCCGAGCCGTCCTGGGACCCACACCCTCCCTGCCACCATCTTGCAGGTTCCTGAGTAGAGCTGTCATTCTTGTGCTTTGGTGGTCAGCAGAGTGAGCTCTGTCTTTCTGTCTCTCTAAACAGGTCCTCACACAATGAACTAGAAAAGCACAGGTAAGTGATCCCCTGTCCCTCCCCCCCAGGCCCCACATTGGCCACCTGACATGTCCTACCTATCCTTCTGCTGAAGGGATGCTGTGGCCGCACCCGCATCCGCCTGCTGTGCCCTGGGTGTGGCCACCTGCACTGCCAGGCCGTGCCCTTGCTTGGGAAGGGTCAGTCTTGAAGGAGGAGTCAGGCTCCGGTCTCAGGCACTCCCGTGCCAGCAGGCAGAGACCGGGGCCTGTGCCCTGCTCATGAGAGCTCAGGTGGGGGTGAGCGGCTAGGGACAGGGCCCCTGTGCTATGTGGCAGTCAGGGCCAGCTCCCTGGAGGAGAAGATCCATCTAATTCGGGGCATTTGCTGCCTTTGGGAGCAGCTTTTGAGCTCTCAGGACACTGGCCTCCAGCCAGGAGGGTTCAGCCCTCTCAGTCTGGGGTTCCTTAGTTTAGGGTCCCTTGCACTGTGGGGTGTGCCTTCCAAGGAGCTCCCACTGGTCTTATCTGGGGGCAGTGGGAAGGGCAGCCGGGCTCTGGCCATGTGGGCCTGAGGGAAAGCTCCGGGCCCAGGCTGGATCCCGGGACACCCACCTGCCAGCTGCAGGGCCCAGTCTGCTCTGGGTTCTCCGAGGAGTGGGAGGGCTTGGGGTGAGAAGTGGGGAAGGGGCAGTACAGCCGGCCCAGGTCGGCCCCAGAGCCCTCCCAGGTGCCCCTAGCCTGGGTGCTACAGGCCTTGTCGTGCCCTCGGGGGCTCCACGACCCTGCACCTTCTCTGACGAAGGGACGAGACACAGGCAGGCTAGGCCCTGCCGACAGGTGGCCTTGCAGCTGGTCTTAGCAGGGTGGTGCAGCTGTGGGTGGGTCCTGGGATGCCTTGTGGTAGCTTCTTCCTGACCTTCGCTCCCATCTGTGAAATGGGCCAGTTCTTTCCTTCCTTCTTGGGTCAGTATTGGGCGGTAGTGGGGATGTACAAGGGTAGTGGGTAGTGTACAAGGTAAAAACTCCAGCCTGCCCTGGGAAAGCTTGGAGCATAGCCAGTTTTCTGTGCCCCCCTCCCCCTCCGGGGACGCCCACAGCAGCGCCAGCTTCCTCTCCCCTGGGATCCAGCCCTCGGCTGGGTGGGCGCTGGGTGGGGACAGGACGCTGTGTTCTTTGGAGGAACCGTACTTCCTGGACTGGTCCTGTGTGATTGAGGGGTTCCCAAGAGACCGTGGAGGTGGGGCAGGTGTGGGGGCCCTGGGGTTCCTCCCAGGCTGGAAGACATGGCCAGCCTCACTGGGACCCAGGAGCCTGGACAGGCATGTGGGGATGCTCTAGAAAAGGCTTCCTGGGGGTGGTGTCTGGAAAAACAGCCCCTCAGTTCAGACAGAGGGGATGACACGAAGGGAGTATGGGTGGCAAGGGCATGGCTGCCTGTGGAGGGGGACACGTTGCTAGCCTTGACCCCTACAACTGCCCCTTGGCCTCGGCCTTGGCCTCAGTCACCTTCTCCCAAAGCGTGCCCCTAGGCTGGGCCTCGGGGGGCTCTTTCCAGACACTGAAGCAGGACAGACAGGTGGCCTGAGGTCCACGTACACTCCCCCATCCCGATGTAGGGCGTGTGTTCCTGGCTGGCCATGAGGGGCCCACAGTCTTGGAGCTTGAGACCTGGTCAGGCCCCGGGTCACAGCTGTACCTGTGCCGATGCTGGATGCTCCTGGCTGCTGGCCACGGGCAGGAACGGAGCAGCTGGCTGGGTCACCGGCTCCGCACATTGCCCTCCCTGGAGGCGTGCCTACATTGGGCCTGTGGCGCATCCCCCGGCGTGTTCTCCGAGCCAGCCCGGTCAAGCTGAGGCCCGCCCTGCCCGTTCCTACCCCGTCCTCCCTTCTTCTCTTGTGGAACGCTGCTCTAGTGTTCTGCTCCTGACCCCAGGCCTGGGGGTCGTGGAAGTCAGATGTTTCTTGGCAGGATGACCCCCCCCGCCACCAGCTCAGCTCCAGGATTTAGGTTTTGTGTGTGGAGGGGTGGGGGGCCCTCTGCAGGGGCTGCCATGCCATGTCTGCCTGACACAGTGGCTCACCGTCTCTAGAAACCCCACAACTGGAAGGTGCGGGAACACATGAGGGGAGAATGGGGCACCCTTGCTTCTCATCACACCTGCTGAGGGAGCCACAGTTTGGTGCCTCTCCATGCTGCCTCTTCTCGGACTGCCGGGCCTGGGGTGGCCCAGAGCGTGGCCCTGTGGAGCTGGGTCTCTGCCCCTCGGGTGCCGGGGGATGCGGCATGGGAGCCCTGGGTCTTCCTCTGAGGAGCAGGGTCTTGTGGTGGGAAGCGGGCAAGGCCTGGGTCAAGAGCCAGGCTGTGGCCGGCTGCCAGAGACGGAGCTGCTGTTAACAGACTGCAGTGATTCCCAGAGGCGGGTTCTGGCCCCAGAATCCACACAGGGTTCCTTCAGGAAGTGGTGAATTTTCAAAGCTCCCAGGAATGCCGGGGACAGCCACGGGGCACTGGCAGAGGGCCTGCGGCGCTGTGGCAGCCCCAGAGGAGGGCTGCAGGGCCCCGGCACCCCTTCCAGCTCCAGAGAGGTCATGGGGCAGCCCGCTCCCCACAGGGGTGGGGCATGGGGTTCCTGCCCGGGCCCCACAGCCGGCGCTGGTTCCCACCCCGCCGAGGCTGCCCTCCTGGCCCAGCGCTCCTCTGGAGCTGGGTGGGCGCGCTGTCCAGTGGTAAACGTTGCACGGCTGTGGTCCAGCGGGCTCTCCTTGTCTCTTGAGAAGCCTCTGCTTTGGGATTTCTAAAGCAGGCCGTCCACGTTCCTCGCTGACGCCCGTGGGCCTCCCTGGCTCCCCCCTCAGAGTCAGCCATCCCAGGCGGCTGGGAGGCCGCACCTGCTCCCTCCTCCTCCGCACGGATACTAACTTGGATAAGAATGGGACCTTGTCATCTGCTCTTTCTAACCTGACCTTTCACCGGACACCACGTGAGTGTCCACCTGTGTCGTGCGTTCCCCTCCGCCTCCTGGTCCCAGCGCCCGCACGGGCACGCGTGCTGCCTGCACTGTTAGGGGCGGCCCTCTGGTTGACGCAGGCCGGGCCACAGCGAGCGTCGGTAAACGTGCATCTTTGCATCCGTGGGGGGCAGTCCGGTGGGACCCGGATCCTACAAGTGCAGGTGCTGGTCAAGGGTTTGGGTCGCCGCAGCGGCCCTCAGCGCTGTCGTCCCTATTCGCTCTCCCTGAACAAAGCGCAGATGGGCCCGTGCGCCGCCTGAGAGCCGGCCGGTCCTTTCCAGTCTGGCCCAGACGCCCGCCCGCCCGCCCGCCCGCCCTGCTTGGTCCTCAGTTCCTAGAGTGCTGGGAGACCGACTTGGTTTTGTGCTAGCTTAGCAGTCTGTGCTCTGCAACTTGCCTGTTTGCGTCCTTTGCCCGTTTTCCACATTAAGATACTCCTCTCTTTGTTTTTGATGTGTATGAGCTCAAAATGTCACGGATACTAACCATTTGTCTTTTATGTGTATCACAGATACTTTTCCACTGTTGTTCGTCTTTCGGCTGTGTTTTTTCTTTCTTGTACAAATGTCTCTTTCTGATTGTAAAAGTAATATGTGGTGTTTTTTTTTTGTTTTTTTTTTAGCGTAGAAAACTTGGAAAATATAAAAACAAATAACTAAAAAACACAAACCGTAAAGCCAAAGAAATAAACGTTGCCAACCGCATCACCTGGAGACGCATGCCTCCTGCTCTTCATTGTGTCCTGTTGAGTCTCTTGTGTGCGTCTGCTGTTTTATTTTTTTAAACAATACTGGGTGACCTGTCACACACGTGGTTCCGTACGCTGATGTTGTCACTGAGCGTTTGTGACGCAGGAATGTAGAGCACACTGAGAGGATGGTATGGTTGTCTCTGGGTGGTGGAATCTGGGCTACTTTTCTGCTGATCGGCAGTTTCTGATTTTGCACAAAGATCACGTGCTGCTTATGTAATTAAGCAGCAGATTGTAAGAATTGCCATTTGCTCTAGAGTAGGTGGACAAGGGGACCCCACTTGTGAACTTAGCACGGATGGCAGGACAGGAGGGCCCCCGGGGGAGAGGGTGACGCTCTCATTGCCGACCCCTCCTTGAGCACAGAGTGTGGTGTGCAGCCTGCCCCTGTGTTCCTGGCCCCGTTTTCAGCAGGGCAGAGGGGATGCTCCACCCACTTGGAAGTGAGGGAGCGGAGGTTCCCGGACTCCAGGGGGTCATGCATGCCCCCTTCCCCAGCCCTGTGTCTGCATGGAGGTGGGCGCTTATCTCTGAAGGTCCTCCAGCCTCCAGTCAGAGCAGGGGCTGCTCCGTACGTAGGTCCCTGGTGCCCGGGCTGCTCAGGTCCTGGCCCCGTGTGGCGTTGTGGCAGAGCATGGCGTCAGTCCTGTGTCCTGGAAGTTCTTCCTGACTCAGGCCCACCTGGCCCACCCTAGGTGCTGGGGTGCTGTGGGCTGGGGTGCGGGGTGGGGAGGTGCCCTCTCAGTGGGGGTGCTGTGTGGACAGGGGTGGCAGACGTAGGGCCAGGGGGGTCCGTGTGCAGCCAGCCTTCCTCCTACAGGGCGGGGCTGTTAGTTGCTGTTCTACAGAGGGGGTCCTGCCCTGCACCCAGCTGCCCCCTCTCTCCCCAGGCCTTGGATGCCCCTCAGAAGTGGCCATCACTGCCCACTCTCCTCCCGGGCTCTCTAAGGCTAAGCAAGGCTGTGGCACATACGGGATAGAGGTGAAAACAAGAGACGGCCACGGTTGGCACTTTGAGGGAAGGGGCATGTGCTGGCTGTGGTGATTGGGCAGTCGGGCGACAGGCTGTCTCACAAAGAACTCCTACCCCTCGCCCTCAAGGGTCCTCCTTTCAGAGCGGAGCCCCCGCAGAGCATCGCGGCTGGACAGCGTGTTGGGGCTCTGGCGCCCTGCACGTACTGAGGAGGGGCCGTCACGTGGATGGGGCAATGGCCCCAGGCCATCGCGGTGGCCACAGCGTCCTTTAGGGTGCACTGTAGTCACCTTAGTCTCTGCCAGCCTGCCCTCCCCAGATGAGATGAGCCAGGAAGGCCGTGTTTCTGCAAGGGTGGATCCAGGCCAACCGCCCCGCCCCCGCCCCCAACCTGAGACCCCTATGTCAACAGTGCCACTGGCTCTTAGGAGTACAGTTTTGTGAAACTCTGCCTTCATCTGCCTGAACACAGGGACGAAATCTGGAATGAAGCTGTTTCTTCTAAGGGAAACCAAATTTGGTCCTCAGCCCTCCATGACCCCAATAGACTTGTGTTTCTGTGGTGACGTGACCAGAGACCACCCTGAACTTGGCAAGGTGGAATGCCAATCTTGCCCCGGGCCCCCTTGGACCTCTGGGAGCAGTCTGACCAGGACCCTAACCCTGCTGTCCCCGGTCGTCCCCTGACCTCCTGGATCCACTGTGGAGGGTGGTGACAGCAGGGTGAGCCAGGGCTCTGAAGGCGGTGCCTGGCGGTGGCTTTCTGAGGCCCTGAGGGCCGTGGTGGGCTGGCTGCATGGGCCCTGGCCATAGGCTCTCCTCCTCTGTTGGGGCATCCAGAAGGCAGGTGCCTGGCTGCTCCGGGGAAGCTGCCAGCCAGGCTGGGAGGGGAGCCCTGGACCCTCAGCAGGTCCGTGCAGGAGTCTGGCTGGCCGCCTCTTGTGCCCTCAGACCTCCCAGGCCTCTCTGCTGCCATTGCCATTGTCCCCGTCGGCTGTGCCACTCTGGCCTGACGGTTCTGTCTCTCCTCTTTCAGACGAGCCAAGCTCAGGCTCTATCTGGAGCAGCTCAAGCAGCTGGTGCCCCTGGGCCCTGACAGCACCCGCCACACCACGCTGAGCCTCCTGAAGCGTGCCAAGATGCACATCAAGGTAAGTAGGACGGTGCCCCCGCTGCTGCCCCTGGTCTGACCCCATCCCGTCCCGTGCACCCTGGGGGAGTGACCAGGGGGCCTGAGGGGAGCCGCCTAGCAGGTGCACATCGGGGACCCCTGGGGGTCTCTGGTGGTAGGTGGGCGGTGCTTGGCCACGGGGGATGCTGAAGGTTGAGGTGGTCACAGGCACGTGCTGGGTTTTATTGGGAGGTGGGGGGTGGGTAGGAGGTAGCCATGCCAGGCTGGGGGAGGTGTGGTCCTCGGGGGCCCTGGGCTGTGAAAGGGCAGCAGCTAGAAGGAGACGTGGGGCCAGGAAGGGCAGGATAGGAAGCCGGCAGCCCAGGGGTTGGGAGGTTCTGGGTAGAAGGTGGGGTTGGTCTCCTGGGGTAGGCCCCCAAGGCCTCGAGACAGACCTGCTGGTTTGGGGGGGGGGGATCTTGGGACACT